TTCTGCAATGTACTCAATCTCACTACACTAGATACATGTCAAATAAGTGAATTAATAGTCAGTGCATCTGATCTGTGTTATCGGATGTTTTGTAATGCTTTTGACTGCATTTGATTCAATGTATGAATCAATGCTGTACCAAATATATTTGAGTTGACACCAATTGACTATTTGGTTTGGTGCAATGATAGCATGACATAGGAACTGGTCCTAATGCTTATTAAAATGTTAGGTGTCAGTGATGAGCTTTAAAAATCCTACCTTCTTCCAAGACACAAGGCAAAGAAGTTCAAGCAATCTGGATTACAACACTTGACGACCTCTGCCAGCATATCAACTCTCTCATGCGGTAGCCAYTCATCCAGCCACTATCAKAGAAATATCACAGTGAGTGCTTGTTGATGGTGCTCCTAGTCCTTGYTCAATGGACTGCATGCAGGCAAACTTACCTCATTGATTTGATTGAGCTGCATTTTAAAGTACTTTGAAAGTCTAGTTCTCCTAGCAGTAAGCAATGTTTGTCCCTTGTGCCCCTGCCACCACTTTGAAGACTTAAACGTAAGAGGATCAGCTCCGTACAGCCAGTTTTTATCGCCGGCACGTCGCACACTYTTCATATCACCTAGTTTAGCTGAGCGTTTATCGTCGCAATGGAAGAAATTATGAGTGCTAACTCGTCTTAAGAATGGTGGAGCGTGCTCGTGTCGTCTCGTCGAGATTACCCCGACTTCAGTAGCTGGAGTCACAGCAAAGTTAGCAAAAGGCAGTTCGCTTTCGTCAGAATAATGATCATATTCCACACCTTCTTCGACGGTAACGTCATGATAGCAAGCTTCGTAATCAAACTCWTCCTCGTTTACTTCCAGTAATTTTTCAAGTTTTTCTATATTTTTCATTTCTGCAATATCTTTTTCTGCCATRGCTGCTACAGGATCTAAGCCACGGTAACGRCGAAATTCGCTATCTTCCACCATGCTAGACATCGTATGTACAAACTTTGTTTGAAGAAGTTTGGTTGGATAGGTTCCTTTGAGCTGAGCGACAAAATCACGGTGAAACACAGGCTCTAAAGAAGTCACAAGAGCATGAAGCTGACTCTTCGAGCATTTATCAGTTAAACTGCACAGTAAAATGCGTTGCTGCCAAGGCCTCCAGTTCGCAAACCACTCGCTAACTTTTTTGCAAAGCTGCTTCTTGGAAAATAAAGTGCATACTTTTTCAATATCAGCGTACACTAAATCCAAGCTGGGTAGCGTCAAAGGCTTAGCAAAAGCTCTATATCTCATCTCGTTTCTTGTCTTTTTGACTTCATGCCGCTTTGGTTTGATTATTGGCAGTATTGTCGATCTGTTACCATGCCCATCACGGGCCGCCATCTTGCGGCTTGACTTCTCTAAACTTCGTTGTAAAGATTGTTGCTAAGATACCGGTTGAWGAGAAGCCCTGGGAACGAGATTATGGACTTCCTGTGTTAAAGCATGGCAAAGGAAATCCGGTACTTCATATTTGTCAGCCTTTTCAAAATAGAAGTCTAGAAGAATGTTAGACTTTCAAGCTCTCGAGCAAAAGAATAAACGTTGCCACAAAAAGTTTCTTAGAAATGCGGGAGAAAAAAACCGTCTACTAATCAATATTCATTGTGCTGGGGACTGACATAACTAGATTCTAGAAAGAAAAGTGTTTACAGAACAAAAATGCTGTCTTTGCATGTCTATACTGCAATTTCGTGTCTATTTGACTTACTGTATTTGGATCTGT